TTCTATGCTCAGTGTCTTACACAGTGCCTGGCACATTATAAGCACTCAATAAACATTTATTGAAAGAACACACTGTCCCAGCGTTGAACAAAAAGAGCTACATCAATACAGAACACAGGTGGGTCTCAGAGCATTACCAAATGGCCAGTGGCTGATATGAAATGCATTCAAACAAATTTAGACTTTTCATATTGAGTTGAACACTCCAGATTCTGCCTGAATACAACAGCCAACTAGCAAAATAGTATCCTAGGGAATAAACAGAGCAAAGGGTGTGGGGAGTAAGGCAGAGCCCATGCACATCAGCACAGGACCTACACACTCAACATCATGTATTTACTTCACAGTGAGCCAGTTTTAGCACTAACATGGAATGTAAAAGGCCATGTGACAGAATTATAAATGTCCAATGACATGCATAATGGCTACAGTGGCTTGCTATATATATTCTCGGGGAACACAGCCAAGTGTTCATAAACGCTACTAAGAAAATAAAAACTTGGCAATCTCATAGATGGATGGATGGATGACTTGACAAACTGATAAATGACAGACCAATCTTCAGTGTAAATACACCTGAACAGGAGCTCTAAGACCTGGGGGATTCTAGTACTGGCTCTTCCATAAAACGGCTTTGCGATCATAGGCAAGTTACTTAACCTCTCTGTGCTTCACTTTCTCATTTGTAAAATCGATTGTGCCTTTGAAGTCCTTTAGTTATTCAGACAAGCTGCTCTCCCTGGCCACCCGCACACACCTGGGACACTCCTGTCCTTATCTGCTGCCTACTTAACCTGCATCCATTCTTCAAGCTTAACCTTAATCACCCTTTCCTCAGGGAGGCTTTTCTTGAATCTCTAAGTACTCTCAAACAGCCCTATAGTTCCCTATTCAAAAGTGCTCAGCATGCTTGCAATTATTTAAATTCTGTCTTCCCCAGTAATCTGTAAGCTCTTTAAGGGTAGAGTCTCTATCTAGCTTCAACTACTTTATCCCCAACATCAAAGTATCTGATCCATGGCAAGTATTCAATAATTAATTTGCTGAAAGAATGAATTAGGTCCCTACAGATCTAAAATTTTAGGACTTAGGAGACCATCATCATCACCTTTAATCTAACTGTTGCTTCTCATTACTGTATCTTCTAAGATAGTTTTTTCCTACTGACAAATGAATACATTTGACAATAAATCTTGGTATGAAGCTTTCTGGAGTACAAAAATTATTTACAAAATAAGTGCTAATTCTTCCCAAACTCTCATTTTGTTAATCAAATATCAAATTATTCATCATGCAAAAATAAATAACCATACTTTTACTCAAATAACGCACACCTTCTAGTTTGTCGACCGCGCCCTCTCTCCACTATGTATTTCCCACAGTGCCAGCCTGCTAGTTTTTTCTTAACATGGTGTTGTAAAAAAAAAAATCAGCATAGTGTGCTTACAAAAATACCTAGTGAGGGGAGCGCACAGTTGGCAAACAAATGCAGACGGCACATATTATTTGTGTAAAAATATGGAAATTACAGGGATCTTCTTGACCTGGAAGTTGTATGCCTGTCCCCGCTGCCAACGAGTCAATTCTGTCCCATAGTGACCCTACAGGACAGGGCAGAACTGTCCCATAGGGTTTCCAAGGCTGTATATCTTTATGGAAGCAGACTGCCACATCTTTCTCCCCCAGAGTGGCTAGGGGGTTCAAACTACTGACCTTTCAGTTAGCAGACGAGTACTTAACCACTGCGCCACCAGGATTTCTGGAAGTTGTACTAACAACTTGAAAGTTTCTTTGAGTCTTCTAGCAAAGCCAACTTAAGGTTTCCAAAAATTGAAAAGGTTTTGCAGACAAATTAAGAGAATTTTGTTTAAAATATTATTATTCAAAAGTGGTAGGATTTAATAAATAACAAAACATTGGTCTCTGGTCTCCCTAACCTTTCAAGGGAAATAAATGAGAGAAACTAATTTTTAAGAAAATCTATTGTCTTCTCATCAAGCAACAATGATTTCAAAAGTATAAAACAAGAAGAGTAAATTTTTTTTTTTAATTTTTTTTATTGTACTTTAGATGAAGGTTTACAGAACAGATAGTTTCTCATTAAACAGTCACTACACATATTGTTGTATGACATTGGTTAACAACATCATGACATGCCAACACTCTCCCTTCTTGACCTTGGAGGACCTTTTTTTTGGTGAAGATATACACAGTCGAAGTTACACCATTTCAAAAGTTTCTACATGTACAATTCAGTGACATGGATTACATTCTTCCAGTTGTGGGGCTATTCTCACTATCCTTTTCCAAATTATTCCATTATCATTATCATCAAGGAAGAGTAAATTTTTTAGGTATACTTATAGACTCATGATAAAACATTCTTTTTCTCTAGCCACCATCTAGATTAACAGCATTATTTGCATAACATCTGTATAGTTCTTTTTATTGGAGGCATGTTATTTGAGGTAGAAATAAAAAAATCTCTAAGTAAATGAAAACTCCTACCACTTACAAATCACGACTCAAAAGAAGAGGTCAAGAAACCTATAATCCAAACATCAGATTTAGACTATGGTTTAATCTCACCCAGCCTTTGGGTGCTACTCTGCATGCCTCCAAAAGTACGACAGTCGACCAGACCCAGGATGTATTAACAAACAGGTACATCACATCCAAGAGTTCTCAAAGATAAAAGTTCCATTACTTACTGGAGCAGCAGTTTCAGAAAGGCAAAAGTAGACTCTAATCAATAAGACTGTTAAGTGCCTTGAGTTGATTACCACTCACAGCGGCCCTATGTACAACAGAACAAAACACTGTCCAGTCCTGCTCAATCCTCACAATCTTGCTGTTTGAACCCATCGTTGCAGTCACAGGATCAATCCATCTCGTGGAGGGTCTTCATCTTTTTCGCTGACCCTCTGCTTTACCAAGCATGATGTCTCCCTCCTGATAACATGTCTTTTAAAGTACGTGAGACAAAGTCTCGCCATCCTTGCTTCGAAGGAGCATTCTGGATGTACTTCTTCCAAGACAGATTTGTTCATTCTTCTGGCAGTCCATGATATATTCAATATTCTTTGCCAACACCATAACTCTAAGGCATCAATTATTCTTTAGTCTTCCTTATTCAGTGTCCATCTCTCACCTGCATATGAGGCGATCGAACACACCATGGCTTGGGTCAAGCACACCTTAGTCCTCAAAGTGACATCTTTGCTTTTAATACTTTAAAGACATCTTTTGTAGCAGATTTGTCCAATGTAATATGTTCTTTGATTTCCTGACTGCTGCTTCTATGGGTGTTGACCATGGTTCCAAGTAAAAATGAAATCCTTGACAACTTCAATACTTTCTCCATTTATTATGATGCTGCTTATTGGTCCAGTTGTGAGGATTTTTGTTTTCTTTATGTTGAGGTGTAATCCATACTGAAGGCTGTAGTCTTTGATCTTCATCAGTAAGTGCTTCAAATCCTCTTCACTTTCAGCAAGCAAGGTTATGTCATGTGCATGTTGCAGGCTGTTAATGAGTCTTTATACACAAAAAACACATAGAGGCAAAAAACACCCTCTGATTAGAAAAATGCAGAATTGGTAGAAGGAGATAGAAGAGCTGATGTAAAGCCATGGCAGTGTTCCAGGTAATGGTCATGCGTGGAGATTCTGCCGGCCTGGGGAGTAAGTACTAGCTCAGAAAAAAGGAGAATCAGCTGCTGAGGTTGAGTCATAGGCCCAAAATGAGCTCTCTCCTTTTTCTGTACAGTCTTCGGCTGTATAAACCCTAGACTCACCCCTGCACTTTGGTAAGAAGCTGGTCTCCTGAATATCATGCAGTCCACTACTGCCAGCATCCCTGGACCTCAATCCTGGTTAATTCCTGAGCTGCAGCCATGTTTACTGCCTTTTGACAAAGCCTGGGTAAAGTCTCCCCGAGTTTCTCCCTCTATTGATTTTGAAGTCCCTCAAAGCCTCAACACATAACAAACGCATCATCATCAATAAACATTTACTATTCTACAAAAATGCTTTAGACTCCTTAAAGTTCCTCCTTCTGGGACCGTTAGACCACTTAGCCAAGCCTGAAGAGTCCCACTTCCCTAAGCATATTCACTTCAATTCTCCCTCTGATTGGTACCATGGTGAATATTACATCAAACCCTTCATAAGGAATACTTTTGGAAGGTTCCCACAATCTAGTTCTCTCTTACTGAAGTAAACATTTTGGATCCATCAGTTTCTATCTACCTTCCCAAAATTCTAGTCAGCATCTCCTGGTAAATCAGAAACTAAAAATTAGCAGATGAGTATCCAAGGGCATCAAGGAAAATATGAGTTCAACATTAGTCTACTAAAAAGATTGGTGGTGGTAGGAGAGAAAAACGGACGCAAACAGATGGGTAAGATCTCCCCAAATGAATAACAAAGAACCTGATCCACTGCTTCCCTTCATCAAATTATCCCTCTCCCCACAAAACTGGCTTAGAATGAATGAGTGAAGAATGATGACACAGTACAGCAGCAGTTCTGAAAAACCAAGAACTACTTGAAGAAACAGGTAAGATTTAAAAAATACATGTTATTAACATTTCCAGTGGGTTCATGTAACTGCATCTCCACTGTTGGTCCTTATATAGCTACAGTAAAGATGAAAGAAAGAGAGTAGTCATATCACATCTGAGCCTTAATGGCAAAATAGAACCACTGTTCAAATTCTCTCAGACTATCGGCATTTATTGGACTTAAATATCTTATTCAACTCCCTAGTTTTACAACTGAAGAATCAGAGGTCCAGAAAGATTAAAGATTAAGGCACTTGGCTAAGATCACAACTGGCCATTGATTTCTTAGTCATTGTTAAAAATTAATTTCATATTTTCTCCTAAATTTTAGTATTTTCAGAGAATCCTACAGTAGAGCAGGGTCAACTGTTATTTCCAAATAAGACAGCAAACATAAAAAATGTTGAATTGAGGAAAAATACAGAAGAAGGCTTACCTCTGGGTCTGCTAGACGCTGAGACAGACCTACAACAAAGACGAGGTTTTTCTGTACAACACGTACACTAGCCAAATGTTTGCGATTTTCTGATATTTTCTGTTTTCTCTCATTTTGTTTCTGTTTTTTCTCATTCTTTATCCTTTGCAGTTCTTCCTGGGAGAGTGGTTTATATACTGCTGGGTCTTCTGGATATGGCTTTAAGCATAAAACAAACACAGAAGTTAGCGTGAAAGAAATAAATAGAAAAACTGCATGAATAACAATTATCAAATTCTGGAGGGCAGATATGTGGACATTTCTTATATTTTCTGCCCCTTTTATGAATGTTTTAATTACTTAAAATGTTTTTTATTTAGTAAAAATTAAGTGTTAAATGAAGTTGTTTTAAAAATCAGTTATTTTTTAGAACTTAGCACAGGCTGAGTCCCTGGGTGGTGGTGGTGGTGGTGATGTTAGGTGCCGTCGAGTCGATTCTGACTCACAGCAAGCCTATGCACGACAGAAGGAAACACCGCCCGGTCCTGTGCCATCCTCACAATCATTATTATGCTTAAGCCCACTGCTGCAGCCACTGTGTGAATTCATCTCATTGAGGGTCTTCCTCTTTTTCCCTAACCCTCTACTTTACCAAGCATGATGTCCTTCTCCAGGGACTGGTCCCTCTTGATAACATGCCCAACATATGTGAGACATAGTCTTGCAATCTTTGCTTCTAAGGAGTATTCTGGTCGCACTTCTTCCAAGACAGATTTGTTCGTTCTTTTGGCAGTCCATGGTATATTCAGTATTCTTCATCAACACCACAATTCAAAGGTGTAAATTCTTCTTCGGTATTGCTTATTCATCGTCCAGCTTTCACAAGCTTATGAGGCGACTGAAAATACCATGGCTTGGGTCAGGTGTACCTTAGTCTTCAAGGTGAAATCTTTGCTCTTTAACACTTTAAAGAGGTCCTTTGCAGCAGATTTGCCCAATGCAATGCGTCTTTTGATGTCCTGACTGCTGCTTCCACAAGTGTTGATTGTGGATCCAAGTAAAATGAAATCCTTGACAACTTCAATCGTTTCTCCATTTATCATGGTGTTGCTTATTCATCCAGTTGTGAGGACTTTTGTTTTATGTTGAGGTGTAATCCGTACTGAAGGCTGTGGTCTTTGATCTTCATCAGTAAGTGCTTCAAGTCCTCTTCAGTTTCAGCAAGTTGTTAATGAGTCTTCTTCCCATCTTGATGTCCCATTCTTCATATAGTCCAGCTTCTCGGATTATTTGCTCAGCATACAGATTGAATTAAGTATGGTAAAAGGATACAACCCTGACGCACACCTTTCCTGACCTTAAACCATGCGGTATCCACTATTTCTGTTCAAATGACTGCCTCTTCATCTGTGTACAGGTTCCTCAAGAGCACAATTCAGTGTTCTGGAATTCCCGTTCTTTGCAATGTTATCTATAATTTGTTATGATCCACACAGTCAAATGCCTTTGCAGAGTCAATAAAACACAGGTAAACATCTTTCTGGTATTCTCTGCTTTCAGCCATGATCCATCGAACATCAGCAATGATATCCCTGGTTCCACATCCTCTTCTGAATCTGGCTTGAACCAGTTCCCTGTCAATATACTGCTGCAGCCACTTTTGAAAGATCTTCAGCAAAATTTTACTTGCGTGATATTAATGATATTGTTTGATAATTTCCACATTTGGTTAGATCAACTTTCTTGGGAATAGGCATAAATATGGATCTCATCCAGTCGCTTGGCCAGGTAGCTGTCTTCCAAATTTCTTGGCATAGACAACGGAGCACTTCCAGTGCTGCATCCACTTGCTGAAACATCTCAATTGGTATTCCGTCAATTCCTGGAACCTTGATTTTGCCAACGCCTTTAGTGCAGCCTGGACTTCTTCCTTTAGTACCATCAGTTCCTGATCATATGCTACCTCCTGAAGTGGCTGAATGCTGACCAATTCTTTTTGGTATACTCTGTGTATTCCTTCCATCTTCTTTTGATGCTTCCTGCGTCATTTAATATTTTCCCAGTAGAATCCTTCACTATTCCAACTCGAGACTTCAATTTTTTCTTCAGTTCTTTCAGCTTGAGAAATGCTGCGCATGTTCTTTTTGGTTTTCTATCTCCAGGTCTTTGCACATGTCATTACAATACTTTGTCTTCTCGAGCTGCCCTTTGAAAAATTAAGTGTTAAATGAAATTGTTTTAAAAATCAGTTATTTTTTAGAGCTTAGCACAGACTGAGTCCCCGGGTGGTACAAACAGTTAAGTGTTAAACTACTAGCTGAAAGGCTCGCAGTTCGAACCCACCCAGAGGCGCCTTGGAAGACAGGCCTGGGAATCTGTTTCCAAAAGGTCACAGCCTTGAAAACACTATGGAATAGTTCTACTCTGCATACATGCAGTTACCAAGAGTCACAATCAACTCGATGGCAACTAACAACAACTACAGCACAGACGACTTTAAAACTTTCACCACCACCAAATGTTCTAACAAAATACCTGTATTTATTATGTAGTTTAGTTGAATATACTTGTACTCTATCTGCCTGTGAATTCTAAGCTCCTGAAGACAAGGTCAAATTCTCTGTTGTCCTGGTGGTCTCTATAGTGCCTCATACACAGTTCACAGAAGGTTAAGTTTCTGAGGTGCTGCGTAAAAGAAAGGTTCTAAGTTCTCTCATATATATATGAGTTTGTGTACTGCAATCAACAGAAATTTAATGAAAACCTACTATATGCTAGAAAATTAACAGAGTGCTTGTTCTTTAACACATTCTCAGTCTAAGGGGGAAACAGATGGGGAAATAAATAATAGACACTCTGGCTCAGGAGTTTGAATTTAGCTTTAACACTTACTAGCCGTATGGCCTTAAACAAGCTATTTAAACTCTATGCCTCAGTATCATCATGTGTAAAATGAAAATAATTTCAAAGATTGGTGTAAAGATAAAATAACATTTATAAAGCAATTATTATAGTGTCTGGCATATAGCAATCCCTCGATAAACCAAAAAACCAAATCCGCTGCCATCGAGTTGATTCCAACTCATAGCAACCCTACAGGACAGAGTAGAACTGCCCCATAGAGTTTCCAAGGACCACCTGGTGGACAACTACCAGCAATTATACTGTTGTGTGCCTTTATCTTTTCCTTTTCAATATTATGGTACCATTTCTCACTCCTACTGCTAATGCCAAGGCTGTTAGGCTGTTGGTGGCAGTAAGGGTTGTGGAGTCAGACAGCCTGGTTTTGAATTCCGGCTCACCCTTGTCTAAGTTATGTGACCTTCCTGGCTACATTTCATCAGCAAAATGGGAATCACAGTACTTAATTCATAGGGTTGTTGTGAAGGGTAAAAGATAGTACATGTATAAAGTGATTAAAACAGCATCCTGAACATAGGCATTCAATAAGTCAGTTATTATTACTATGAACAAATTTGTTTTGGAAGAAGTACAACCAGAATGCTCCTCAGAGGCAAGGATGGTAAGGCTTCGTCTTACATGCTCTGGACGTGTTGTCAGGAGGGATGAGTCCCTGCAGAGGGACACCATGCTTGGTAAAATACAGGGTCAGTGAAAAAGAGGAAGATCCTCAACGAGATGGACTGACACAGTGGCTTCAACAATGGGCTCACGTCTAACAATGACTGTGAGGATTGGAACAGGACTGGGCAGTGTTTCATTCTGTTGTGCATAGGGTTGCTATGAGTCAGAATTGACTCGACGGCACCTAATAACAATAATAAATACTGTTAATGATAAATGAAGATGGAGCACATTTAATGTTAATAATATCTAAAATTGAATATGAAGAGATCCCAGGATGGGAAATCACAACTGGTTGGGAAGTTGTAGATATCAGAATACTGGAGCAGGGGCCAACAGAAACACACCAACAAGAAACAAAGTGGGAGCAAGAAGAGGAGACTGAAACCTTGCTATGCCTTTAACATAAAACCACTTTTATTCTTTTCACATGTAAGTAAAAAAATAAAAACACTTCAACTTGTGAATATAACCAGACTAATGCTGAAGGCAATTAAGAAAGTGAGATTTCCCTTTATGTTCCTCAACTTCTACTAGCATTATCATAACAAGGTCTGGTCTCCAAGAAAACCCTGTTCTTTCCTTTTTACATCCACCTTTCAACTTTAACTTACTGCTTGTTGAGAAGACCCTGTACTCTTCATAGTCTACCCTATCATCAATGAACTAGAGCCAATTACTTGAATCCAAGTATAACTCTTAACGGTCCTCCAGGATTTAAGTACCCATACCATACAATCCCTAGATTAAACATCAGAATCTAGATGCTAACTGATTCTATTTAGCATACCACAACTTACATTTGAGTGGAGGGTATATAAAACAACTGACTAATTTACCTGACTTTTGCATAACCCTAGGACTTTCTCCAGGATCCAAAAGAATATTAGTATGGCACATTTCAAACCCACCCAGTGGCTCTGCGGGATAAAGACCTAGCAATCTGCTTCCATAAAGATTACGGCCTAGAAAACCCTATGAAGCAGTTCTCTGTCACACAGGGTTGCTGTGAGTCAAAATCAACTTGACGGCACCTAACAACAACAGCATGGTACATTTTAGAAGCTCAGTAAATATCTGACAAACGAACAAGAACTGGAAATTTAGCACAGCTGATTTTCTAAAAAACAACTAAATTTTCGATTGAAAAATAAATGATCATTTCAAAATATTTTTGCATTGTAATTTAAGGAACCAAATGGTTAAAAATCCATTGCAGTAAGTCCAATCCCTCAATCAATGATGCAACCCTCCTCATTCAGGTCTTATCTCAATGCTTCCTCTCCAAACCTTCTCTCGTCTCCAGTTATCTTTTTCTGTACCTGTATCATCTCCTTTCAAATCTTAATCTATCTGCCAAGTATATTAATCCCATGAAGCTATTTTGAACTTTAAAGGCACAAGTATAAAACAAAGGAACTATATATAAACCAATCAAAATAGCTTTCTATAAGACCACTTTAATTTTTCATTTGCATGGAAACGCTGTTTTCCACCTCAGGATTTCTGGCTAGCTCCTTTTGGAGTGTGTATTATTAATTGCATTTGAAAGCTGTTGCCCTTCATTAATATCTATCAATTTTACTGGATTCCCTGAATGGGTCAAACATACGGACTACTTCAAGTAAAATTCG